CCCCAAAACCCCAAAACCCCGAGATTATTATTAATTTAAAATAGGATATTGCTTTGATAAATTAAGAAATAAATATAATTATAATTTATTCTTAAAAATATTAAGTTATATCATTGGAGGTTTTGAAGATGTTGATAATTTAAATTGAATCATTAAGACCTATTATTATTTCTCACAATACTCAAAATTATTGAGTTTGTTGATGTTTTGAGTGCTTTTTGCTATGATGCTAATTTTCAGGATCGTTGAAATTTAGGATTGGAGTCTTTTTAGGATTGTTAATCACTACATTGACTGAGTTTCCCCTTGAATTTCCAGATTCTTTGAAATTCCAAACTGTATCTTGAACATCAGGGTAGAACACTGGGTATGGCTCGTAGTCAGTGACGTAATATTATTCAACCTTTGGCTCAGAGTAATTAACATCAACAGTCTTTGCTTATTTCTTACTATCTTTTCCTTTGAATGAGAAGGTGAATTGATTGCCCTCTCCTCCAGAGCTCTTGATATTCCAATTTGAACCTGGTGATGGGCTCAATTTAATTGTTTGAGTTTCATCTTTTTTAGCTGGTCTTGGCTTTATGATAACTGTATGATCGCCTTTGCCATCATCATTATCGTCAATATCTTTTCCTTAGTGAGATTTTTCCCATTCCTCCTGTCTTTTTTCTCTATCTTGTCTTTCCTTTTCTCTATCTTGTCTTTCCTTTTCTCTTTCTTAAAGTTCTTCTTCTCTCTCCTTTTCTCTCTCTGCTCTCTCTTTTTTTCTTTCTTATTCTCTTATTTCTCTTTCTCTTTGTCTTTCATTCAATTCCTCCTCTCTTTCTTTCTAGCGCTCTTCTCTATCTTTTTCTCTTTCCTCTTGTTCTTACTCTTTTTCATGCTATCTTTTAGCTTGTTCAAATAATTTCTCTCTATGCAAAAGCTCCTTTTAAAGATATTTCAACATAGATTTAGTGTGTCTGGGTGATAGAAAAGCTTTCAAAACATATTCGAGGTCATGCTCAATTCTAATTGCCTCTAAGCAATTCAAAGCCTCAGTCCAATCCAAGTCATCGAAATTTTCTTCAAGTTCAAAAAGTTTTTTGATCTGGTGAGCTTCTAATGATTGAACTGCTCTTAACGCAAGCTTCAAAAACACCTTTGGTAGTCCATGTGCTTTAAGATTTTCCTCAATTTTATTTATAAAGTAGCTACCTTATTCCTAAATATGATTAGACTAATGATGGACCTCTCTTCTATCATGATCCCTATGACGATGTGATGCAACAGCAGTTCCAAGTAGTAAAGCCGAGGCAATAGCAATGTATTTCTTCATTGTGTTG